TTATTCTGTAACACACACGCATGCATAAACTAATGCCAACCTTAGAGCATAGGAGCAAACTTGTAACAAACTTGAGTTCCCTATCTTCAGAATCTTTTTAGCCATTATTTCTAAGGGATTGCATTTAAGAAATGTGCGTCCTGGTTTTAAAACAATACTGATCACTTTGTTTTGTTTGGTTTAGACGGAGTGTGATTGAAGCTGTTTATAACAGACTGAACCCCTATAGGAATGATGATACTGTAAGTATTTCTTTTGCCATCCCTTTCCCTTAAACACACCCATTTAGCTGTTTGTGTGCAACTTTGTGGAGCTCCCTTGATAATGGAGAGATTTTTTTTTCCATAAGCAACACCATTGTTTTGTAGAAGTGCTCTGTTTCCTGCATTTTGCCTTCATCTTAAACCACAAAACCTCCATGCATTATTTGTTGTTAGGCTTTGCAGATTCAAGACCCAGAAGTCTCTTGTCTGGTTGTGGTACCTGGTTTCCCAATGTGTGGGAAACGATACAATCTCAGTTGCCTTTGTGATTTGAGAAATTGTAGCATTACGGTACCACAAAAACAGTGGCAAGTTCTACCTCTAAAATATTTCTAATTGCTTTGGGAAGTCGTAATTTGTCTAGATAAATGAAAAAGAACTCTTATTGCAACTTTCTGTTGATCACATGTTTGCTAGTTTATAATAGTTGGTTTGCTCACACTTACCTTTCAGTTAACATAATGTTCCCAATAGTTGGATTATCCTATGCTAAGACTTATGTAATTTATTCTTTTTCACACCAGGAAAAATAAAAACAATTTTCAAAATTAGCATTAACTCCATTGACAACAGAATTGCTTTGTAAGGGCTATTCTTGTACAAGATTTTGCAGCTACTGTAATGGACCAGGTTAATTAACAATTACAGAAATGAAATGGACTCTAAATGTTTTGGCATAACAAGTTGCCTGCTTGCTTGGAAAGTTTTGTTACTTTTTCTTGTCGAGCAACTTTCATTAATGCCCTCTTCTGTTTTTAAGTGACATACCTATAGCTGAAAGAGAATTGTCGTTTATATAATAATATAAAATATAATACTGTGCATGGTGGTGTGTCATTGTTCTACAAATGTTTAGCGTGCAAATTGCTACAATTTAAGGACCACTGGTAGCTCTGTGTGGCAGTATGCATAGTATATAATGGTAAGCAGGTTTTTGTACTTCCAGTTTACTTTTTATGCTCACAGTAAATCAGGCCACACCAGATTCTAGTTTCTCTCCTGTTCTGGATGCAGCTGGTACTATATGGAAACTGCTATTTCATGTTTAACTTGTAAGTGAAACAGTTATTCCAGTACTCTTCCCTGGTGATCATTCTTCCCTTTTGGCTCCTGCAAACAAACAAACAAAACAAAGGAAAAATAATTTCTACTTAAAAGATGCGCAAGGAGTATAGGGCTGAACTGGTTTGAAATGAAGTTTGGACTTGCTTGGGTATTCTTACGCTGTTGCTATTTAAACATGGAGATTTGTCTACATTGCAATTGAGAAGTGGGACTTGAAATGGGTGTAAACTAAACTAGTTTTTATCCTAGACAAGTCAGGTAACAGTTAAGCTGCCCAACAGTGTTTTAAAGATGTTTCAGGGTATCTTAAGTCTTTGTAAACAACTAATGTTTTATACTTTACAGCAGGCTTTCAAATGACAGATAAAGCTTTTAAAGTAGTAAATATTTCTAATTTATACTTTTGTATAAAAAGTATTGTAAAGTATTATTCCCAATAAGAAGCTCTTCATGAAAAGGAGAAAAAAAAAAACCCAGAATCCTAAAATTATCCAATTTTTTTTTACCCTTTTCAGTCTGGATTATCCAGAAACTGCTGTAATTTTGGGCGCTCCAGACTTTAAAGGGTTCCTTCTTTTTTCTTTAAGGACTCTGCATCAACTGATGATATGTGGTAAAACTGCCCATCTAGCTGTGGAGTTAATGTTCATCCTTCAAATGAAAGTGCGGCCCAACCTCAGTGACCCTTCTTAACGTCCACCCTCAACCTTATTTAATGAAGGGAATATGATGTGTTGGAGAGTGACTACACCAGAAACCTACAGCAGTACGACGTCTAGCCCAGGAACTGATGATTTTTGTATAACAGACTTCTGTAACATGATCTCAAACCATAATTCATATTGTAAATCAGACTCCAGCAATTTATGTTGTATGATTTTGTTTTTGTAAAGTGCAATTGTCCTGTACAAAATGCTCATATTTAATTATGAACTGCTTTAATTCACTATCAAAGTTAGAAGAAACGTTTGGCTTGTTGTGTGACGCAACAAATATATAGCCCTTTAAAATCATGTTGTGGTTTTGGATTGCAAGGAGCAGCAGCCTAGCCAGGTAGATGCTCAAGAGGTGCACAAAACTGTAAGGATTACTTATTTATATAAAGCTGAGTGTTTGGACAGTTTATCCCAACTATCACGTGTGAATTGCTTGGCGGTGGAAAAATAACACGGTATACCGCTTGTTCATGTTTTCTGTTGCTGTTTATAATGATCCCACTCCTGTTCTCATTTGAAATAAATTGGAGATTTGGCTTGACTTCAGTGGAACAGAAGATCATGCTCTGTAATAATAGTGGGTTCAGAGGCATACCAGTTTTGGGGTTGGAAAGCCTTGATTCTTTACCTGCCTCTTACAAACTCTTACATGAAATTTGCTAATCAGTTGAGCACAGAGGAACAACTTTCTACATACCAGTAAGCATCTACAGCATTTTAACTATCCTGAGTGGCTGGGTTGGCTGCTGTTCCAAATAAAATAGTCTGAATTCCATTTTATCAATAAAGCTTGATTTAACAAACAAGAAATTTAACCATATACGTGTAATTCCTTTTTTCCTGCCTTTTACAATTTCAGTGCCATTGTAAATGCGGTTTTCACATGTGGGAAATATTTTAATAATTGTATCCCATTTTTAAAATGGGGAGAACTCTTGACTTCTGCCCAAGGCATAGACAGACACTAGAGGATGTAGCAGGTGTAATCTTAGCCTATATTTTTACATGTCTCTCTCTTTCTTTCAGGCTTTTTATTCACTGAGATGTGCATTGGCTTGAATTTGCCTACTGCTTAATGAAAATACATTTTTCAGAGCCTGACAATCTTAACATTTTTATCGTGGGTTTTTTGTTTCGTTTTAATTGGCCCATTTATTTGGAATAAGAAAGTAGTGGTTAAACAGTATTTGTGATTTGAAACATAGCATGTTGACAATATTTAACTGTTGGTTATTAAAATTCTAATTTTTAAATTTTATAGGAGTAATAAACTAATTTGATTTAAGCGTAGCTTTGTCCCATTGAACATTCAAAAATGAGTTTTCAGATCAGTCATGTTTGCAAAACTACTGTTTTGTGCACCTTGTATTGTCTTTTTAGATTGAGGATATTGTATTTGTTATTAATATATAGTTTACTTTAATCATTCAGTAGGCAGGTTCCCCAAAAGTAAAATAAATGAATAAGTAGATTGTAAAATGTTACTGCAACTAAACAAAAAAAAAAAAAAAA